GCCTTGGGAACCGCAAAACCTAATGTCTAATTTCAACATTCATATTTTCTGTGTTTTTTAATTGAAAATTCATACAATGTATTTGGATCATGGTTTTCCTGTCCCTATCCTCCCAGATCCTCCCACCTACCCACCCACCCACTTCCAAGCCTTTTTTCTTTTTCTCTTTAGAAAAAAAAAGGTGTGAGGAACATCATGAAGAAGTACAAGAAACACACACAAAGCATACAAACACGAAATTAGAAATCATGAAACACAAGCAAATGACCAGATTTTGTTAAAGTAAAAAAATATATATATATAAAACAAAATGTCTCCACAAAACATCACCAAGTTAATTTTTTGTTGGTCTTCTACAACTGGGCATTGGGACTACCCTTGAATGTGGTTTATATACTTAGTGAGACTCTATTGGAGAAAACTAAGTTTTCCCTTTCCAAACCGTTGTCAGTTGGAGGCAGCATCTTGGTTAGAGATGGATGATCCTGGCCATTTCCCCCTCTCAGCACTGGGAGCCTGCCTGTCTTGAACAAGTGCAGGTCATGTGTGTGCTGCCACAGTCTCTGTGAGGTCACATATTTATCTGTCCTTTTGTCTGGAAGACACTGTTGGTTGGTGTCTTCCACCCCCTTTGGCTCTTAAAATCTTTTTGCCTCCACTTCTGTGAAGTTCTCTGAGTCCAGAGGGAAGGCATTAGTTGGAGACATCCATGCTTGGACTGGGTGTTCCAAGGTCTCTCCTCTGTATGTGATCCAGCTGTGGCTCTCTTGTTTTACTTACTACCTGTCAACTGCAGGAGGAAGCATCTCTGATGATGGCTGCGTGGGGTTTTCCAGAATAGCTTGTGGAATCTATTTCTTATTGTACAGCCTTTGATTTAACAGAATTTATGTTTTGAATTTCTATTTTTTAGCATAAGTGACACTTCAAATTTGGTATCAGCATAAGTGACACTTCAAATTTGGTATCAGTAGTATTGATATTTTTGATGCATAGACTTTGAGGGTGTGTTTTCCTAGAATGAATCACTTCACTAGAAGTGAGCCCTAGAAGTCACTTCGGTTTATATATCACATCGAGACTTATTTTTACCAACTCACTGTTCCCGTGTTAAAAGAAAGCATGCTTCCTAGCTTTTTAAATCATTATTAGTAAAGTACCCTTTAGTTTTGCATTTAGAGCTACATCTAATTAATTTTGTACTCTAATGAACCTTTCAAAACGTTCAACAAAACTCTTCAAAGTGGAATCCTAAGTCTGTAACCTAAGTCAAACACAAGTGTTCTTTTGTTTCAGTATGCATGTGTGGAAAGGGTATTACTTTGTTATTCTCTGTTAAAACTTGTTTGTAGCTGTTGCCTTCAAAATTATTCCTTGTAAACAGCTCTTGTGATAAGCCAGTATTGCTAGAGTCTGTCTGGAGTGTAGCTGTACCCAAAGAAGGATATCAAGCGTATTATTATCCCAAGTCTCGCTGTAACATCCAGACTCACTTCACGTGACTTTTGCGCTTGTCCACATTGGCCACCCACATGGCATTTCATATTAACATGTCAGATTAACCCCCTAACATTTCACTTTTCAGCTTAGCTCATAGTGCAGTTTCGTTCCTTTATAATGAGCCTTCAGTGTGAAGAAGGCTAAAATTATAGCTTTCCTTTGTGGTCATCACCCTTTTAACCTCTGTGGCTTCCCAGTATACATATAGTCCTTGCAATTAATTGTGAACAATTGTAAAATTTTCATATGCATAATAAGAACAATAAATGAATCATCTTTTAAAATAACTTTATGCAATTTACCTACCAAATGGGTAATAGGCATCTATAATCACGTGTTATAGATATTCAAAGGTTAAATTTTAAGAGGCCGGTAAGGCTGAACCTCAACTCTGGATGCTTTTTACATGAACAAGTAGTTATTTACCACTTTTTACAATTAAATGATAGATGGGACTTCTTGTTCAACGATCAGATGCTTCTTTCTTCATGGAGGGTCAAATGAAGACTGCAACTCAGTAAACCTTAGGAAACTGTAGTTTAAACGTGCATTTATTGTATCCTGGGAAAACAAAATCTATTTCTTTACTAAGTGATATTTGTCAAAAAGAATGTTAATGAATTTAGGAAAAATTAACTTATTAGTGTGTCTTGTTTATTTTTTTGTTGCTGTCACAAAATATCTGAACTATAGCAATGCACAAAGAAATGTCTTTAGCTCAGATTTCTGAAGGACCAAGAGTTTGGTTTCCCATTAGGGTCCTCAAGCAATGTCAGCTCTCAGGAAAGTAGATGTGACTAAAGTAGGTTGAACTGCTTTATAGCAACCCATTCTTACAGTAAAGAACTCAATTTCACAGAAATTAACTTTATTACACCCCCCAATCCCTCTCATCATCAACTCAGTCTCTAGAGAAAGTCTACTCATTTTTTTTCTTTCTTTAGTTTGTTTGGTTTTTCAAGACAAGATTTCTCTGAGTAGCCCTAGCTATCCTGGAACTCACTTTGTAGTCCAGGCTGTCCTTGAACTTAGAGCTCTGACTACCTCTGTCTCCTGAGTGCTGGAATTAAACGTGTTTGATGACACCGCTACTACAAACCCATGAGAAGTCTACTGTTGGCAGTGTTCCTGCGACCTAGTCAATCTAGACAGACCCATCACTAAAATGTCCTAACACCTTTCGTTACTATCATGTTAAAGGCCAAACTTTCAACACTTGAAACTAGGAAGTGGGAAAAATTCAAAGCATAGAGGATGTATGAAGAGAGTAATGTGGTACCTTCTCAACTCCACACTACTGGCATTGTGGACCATGTACTTCCTTATTGTGAGTATCCATTCCGTGCTTTGCAGCATGTGGAGAAGGGTCTTTGATCTCTCTTCCCACTAGATGCCAGTAGCATCCCTTCCTGCAAGTGGTTGTATTTAAAACCTCTTCTAGATATTGCTCCCCAGTGCAAGTCTCTGTTCAGTACTGAACTTGAATGGAATGTGATCAGAAAAAAAAACGGGTACCTACAATAATTAAGAAATTTATTAACTAATTTTCCCTGTGTTCCTAGGCAATAACAACAGATCAAGTCAATTTTAATTAAATTGTAAAAGAAAACAAGTTTTATTTCTCTGTGCGATAGCCCTCATTCTGATAGTTGGGCTGAGATGGTTTCTAGTTACACCCCTGTAGAAGTACTATCTGGAGTGGTCCATCCCAATAGCATCTGAGGCAGAGACTCTATTCTACAGAGCTTAGATGCTGAATCCTAATGCAAGGGCTCAGGGATAGCTCTGGTGGGCCAGCATTGGTTTAAGACATCACTCAAGCCAAAGGGTCTTCAGGAAGCAGTGAAGAGCATGCCTTGTTTTATTCCTCATCCCTGCCCACACGCTGAAGGCTGTGGATTGGACCCTTGCACATATTACTGGGTAGCATCATCAGCACCTGCTTCTAGGTCTCACTGTGACACTTCATTTGACTTTAGATTCTTGGTTCTCCTGCCATCACCTCTTGAGCTCTAGAAATACAGACCTTCATAAGCATGACTAGTCTGTTATTTTCATTCATGACTAACATGTATGCTTTGTAGGTAGAATTTCTCTTAACAGTTCTGAGCCCAGGTTTGGGGACAGGTTCAGGTCCAGTAAAATGAGGAAGTAAGGCATCCTCTGTCTCCTCTCCTCACAGTGAAAATGCCTCTGCAGATGACGGATCTTCTGAGCCTTGTTCATCAGTGGACTCCATTGCCCACGCCCTCACAACTCCACCTGTGTTTGGCAGACTCAGTCTTGAGTGAGTTGTGAGGAGGGGTAATGGCTTCCAGGTTTGCCCCTCTCAGATGGAATTTGAATCGGAGTGGGAAGAAGACTGAAATGGATAAGTTACGTGTAGAATATTAAAGTAGGTAGGAAGCCGAACCTCTGTGGCCAAATCAGCCTTGTAGTTCTTGTAACCTGGGATACAGCCATGTAGTGAGCCCCACAATGGTATCGGGACTCAAACAGCTGAGAAGCTCCTAACCATAAGGAGATGAAGCCCAGTGTCTAAAGCATGAAACAAGGAGTCTGATGTGGAGCCTCCAGTTACAGCAGCACTGTTTTTACCCTTAGTTTGGCAGAACTGCAGAAGTCTTGATCGCCACACCGGGCTCAGTCTTTCTTATCTGCTCAGCTCTGTTTCTCACTGCTAGAAGAAACCTGTTTTCCCACATACCGAGTTTTCTTCCCTGAATCCTAAATACCCTCTTCATTTCCTCTGTTCTTTGGATTGTGTTAGGCCTGGTCTGGAATGAGAGTGTCTTCTGCTGCAGGAGCAACTTCTTTCTTGTAGCCCTAGTTGCAGCTGCAGCATGCCTCCTGCTCAGGGCAGCCCATAGTTCATTTATTATGTACTTGCTTTTTTTCTTAAACCAGGGATTATGATATGATTAATTAATTAGCATGAATACTGACTCATTTGTTCCTTTGTAAGGCATGGCTTATGATTTAGTTTAAAATAATGGCTAATAGTTTTGTATGCATGGCTTTCTATGTACTTCACCTAAATAGTGAATTCCTGGAAGACACACATTTTGTGCTTTTTATATTTCACCCATCATATTAATGTATTTGTATTAATGGCTAGCCAGACATTAATACTATTTCAATACTATTTTAATGTCAAAACAGGAGTGACTTATAAGAATTCCTGCCACATCAAGGGCACTCTGCTTTCAGTTTTAAGTTGGGTACCTGTTCTGTACACCAGAGAAGTCAGGTCCATTATGTCACATGAGACACTCTAATTTGAAGTGGCTTGAGCTTGTAAGAGATCCATTTAACTGACCATGGCAGATATTGAATTGTGGCAGATATTGAATTAATGTCATTTTGGATATGAAGTGTGTCATCTTTCCTCAAATGGTACTTAATATAAACACTGTCTGTCAAAGTGATCTATGGCACACATCATAAATATCTGCACATAGAATTCTAACTGACCATGACTTTTCTTATCACACTCTTAGGTACCTCTTGGCTCTGCACAGATGAACATTTGAAGGTACCATCATCAAACATCTGCAACCATGGAGACCTCATCAATGCTTTCCTCACTGAATGATGAGTGCAGATCTGACAACTACATCGAGCCACACTACAAGGAGTGGTACCGTGTGGCTGTTGACACTCTGATTGAACATGGTGTGGAGGCCTACCAAGAATTCCTCATCAAGGAGCGTGTGCCAGACTTTCTAGCTGAAGAAGAAATTAATTATATTTTGAAAAATGTCCAGAAGTTTGCACAACATACAGAGCGTGGTTCTGATAATTCCTGTGATGATGCCTCATCTTCGGGGACTTATTGGCCCATGCAGTCTGACGTGGAAGCTCCAAATCTTGATTTAGGCTGGCCATATGTGATGCCTGGACTCTTAGGGAGTACCCATATAGACCTCCTCTTTCATCCACCGAGAGCACATCTACTTACAATAAAGGAAACTATCCGGAAGATGATAAAAGAGGCAAGAAAGGTAGTAGTATATCTATTTTTAAATGAAAAATATGAAATGTGGACAAGCGCAGAACTATAATATGATAAGCACATATGTTAATTTAAAAATTACTGGGTGTGGCTCATGCCTGTTATTTTCAGAAATTATACACACATATATACATACATATGAAGCTCACACACTTATCATCTCTTTTAAGATTTATTTGTGTGTCTGTGTGTGTGTGTGTGTGTGTGTGTGTATGTATGTGTGCACCTGTGCCAACGTATGTGGGTGCTCATAAAGACCAAAGAAGGTGTCATATCTCCTGGATCTAGAGGCAGGCTGTTGAGAACTTCTTAACACAGGTACTAAGGTCTGAACTTGGGTCCTCTGGAAGAGCAGCAAATGTTCTTAACTATTCAGCCATCTTCCCACCATCTACACTTGTCATATCTTACTTACATGCATCTAAGACAGTAGCAATAGGTTCCTACTAAAGGACCTATTATGAGAAATTACTTCTCTCATATTGGACCTAAGAAGCCTTCAACCTTTGGAGATGGTGCATTAACTGGAATAAGATGATTCTTGACATATTCATATGTTTAAAGCACTTCAAGTTTTCTTATTATTTGGAAAAAAATATATATACACACATGTGTGTGTGTGTGTGATTCTTTGTTATAGAACTAAAAACAAATTCTTGTTTTCAGAATGGTTCATTCTATTATTATATAAACTAGAGTTCTACTTAGCAGTTTTCTGAATTTCATATTAATTTATAATGTAAAATTAACATTTTCAAGCAAAGTGCCGAAGCACTTAGCAGTTTGGAGCCTTGTACTCTTTATCAAGTACTTATATTGCCTTATAAATCTTACAAAAGTTATTTTAGAGTTCAGATAATACTTCAGAAATACCCTTTTAATTAATGAAAATTATTTCAAGTTTCTTGCATCTCTCCTTTGTTTGTTTAAATATGATGATCACCATGGAAGATATTTTTAAGATTATAACTACATTTCCCAAGTTTAAAAATATTTGGGTCAGCTTGGGCATGGTGGCACATATCTGTAATCTCAGTACTCAAGAGAGAGAGTCAGGAGGACCTTATGGCCATCTTTGCATGCATCCTGATCTCTATAGTGAATTCTGAACCAGACAGAGTTAGTAAAACACTGACTCAAGGTGCGCTTTTTTTATAAAGGAAATAATGGACACAAATATGATTTTATAAAGTATCTATTAGGTCCACCTGTAATAGAGACATTTAGGACATAAAAAGGATTGAGGAAACATATAAACATGCCCTCATTTTTATTCTGTGTTGACATGGCGCAAAATTGCTTGAAAAAAACAGTTTTATAAGTGTAAAAAATAAGGACCTCAGAGTTCTCAGTGACAGTACAGTTTGCAAGACAGATAATGAGTACCTAAGAGTCACACCAGTGAGACCCAGTCTTCTTAAGCTAGTGTTGGATTTAGGCTTTGTTAAAGTGAGGCAACCCTAACCCTCTGAATTCAGATAGCCTCACTTCTTAAGGGTGCTCACTCCATTAGCAGTATTATGTCGACAAAAATGTTTATCTGTTTTAATTACCAAACATTAGCTATCAAATGAGGACATAGTAATGGACCAAGCTTTTAGTGAATGAACTAAGCTGTCTGTCATAGTTTCTAACTGATATATTTAAAAAAACTCTTTTCTTTGGTGCTGGGAACAAATGATACAATTACATTTTATATACATCAAATGAGAATTCAAAGAGCAAAACAAGTGCCACTTACCATTTTTTGCTAATTTCTATCAGGAGACATAATTTACTTGAGTCACAGTATTAAAAGTAAACTGATGAGTGCATCAGAGTAGTGGCATACACACTGATCGGCCTCCCCTGAGCTGTGAGACCATAAACATAATGCAAGTAGTCACACACGGTTTTGACCAGCCCCCCCCATATAAACTGAGCATTAGCAATGACCTGTTCATATATAATTCTTCCTCATGTAGCTCAGTGTATTTTAATGAGCCTCTGCAGTAGTATCTTTATCTGGAAATTCCGACTTGAATTGGAGCTTCCAGAGGAACTGAAGTCTATACTGCAAAAGAAGGTTATGTTCTGCTCCTTGTCTATACAAACAAAATGGCATAAAATTAAAAAAGCATTTCATCATATTATATACATGTTAAGTTAAAGATAATTATTTGATATTATAAATTGAATATATTGCAGTTGAGCGTAAATCATGGAAGATAATGTTTGTTGCTTCAAAAGATCAAATATTCTCATCTCTGTTTAGATGCAGTGATCATCAGTGTCTAGTTGGCTCCATGCATAAAGGAGACAGCATCAGAAGTACTTTATCTCAAGGACTTTAGATATCCTTAGAAATCATTTCATTTATTTACATATTGTGAACGGATACAATACTCAGTAAATTCTGTAGTATCCCCTCCACTCCTTTTTAAAAAATTCATGTTTAATTCTATAACTGGTCAAGGTCTTAAAATTTCAACATAAGAGTAAATAATCAGCCAGATACAGCATCAGATGCATGTAACACCCAAATTCCAGATACTGAGGCAGGAGTATTGTGACCCAGAGATCAGCTTGGGCTCTATAGTGTGATGCTGTCTCAAAAGGCCAAGTTAATTAACTATGCAGTGACAAAAAGTACTATAAAAGCTGGCACATGGATTTTTAATTGTGGTCTTCATGCCTGCCAACTCTTCAACAGGAAATCATGCCCCGTTCTTATCCTTTAGCATTCATAGAAACCTGCTAATCAGTGCTAAACTTTGTTTTGGATTTTTTCATAGGATTAATTTTCTTTATTAGTAACTCAGTATATTGTCATAATACTGCATTGGGATGACCTTTTATCATAATGGTTTTTGAATGAGATAGAATTAAGTGGTAGAAACAAATTTCTTGCTTCAGAGCTTCTCAAGAGAGGCCAGCCTTGCCAAATTTTATAGAAATACAATGCTAAATAAATAAGGCTGGGGCAAGGGACAGAAGATGCAGGATCTGGTCCCAAAGTAAGTTAAATCAATGTTTACTATTGCATTTGCAATGTAGCTAAGACACTTTTTTTTAAAACTCTATGGGAGCCTGCCACCCATCTCCCAAAAGATACACAGAGTCTTAGTCTTACTTATGAATATCTAGCCCCTTAGCTTGACTTGTTTTCTAGCCAGCTTTTCTAACTTAACTTATCCTATTTTTCTTCTTCTACATTTTGCCTTGAGGCTTTTTACCTGTTTTTATTCTAAGTCTTTCTTTCCTTCTTACTCCATGACAGGCTGTGTGGTAGCTGGCCCCTGGAATCCTCTACTTCTCTTCCTCTGGCTCATTCCTCTTCTTTGGTGCCTAGATTTCTCCTCCTATGTATTCTCTCTGCCTGAGAGCCCTGCCAATCCATCTCTCCTGCCTCTCTACTTGGCTGTTCAGGTGTTTTAGACAGGCAAAGTAACACAGCTTCACAGAGTTAAACAAATGCAACATAAAAGAATGCAACACATGTTTGCATCATTAAACAAAAACTCCACAGCGTAATGGATGTAACACATCTTAAACTAATATTCCACAACAAATAAGTGTCTTGTTATGCAAAAGTCTTACGTTCAAGGAAAGCGTGTGTAAATTCTGCCTGCTGCAGTGTCTGGAAGCTGAGGTCCTTTTTTTTTTATTATTATTTTTGATTACATTTTTTTTAGAAAAGAGCTTGCTTCACATGCCAATCCCAGCTCCCTCCCCCTCCCCCCCCCCCGTGCTCCGCTACCACCCTCCCCCACAGAGTCCCACCCTATCCCCACTCCCTTCCACATAGGGGATATCCAGAGTCTGTCATTTCATTCAGAGCAGGGTCTAGGCCCTCCCCCAAGAGTACAGGCTGAGAGAGCATCCCTCTTGCCAGGGATAAATACTGACCTACTGCCCAGGGCCCCATAGGTTTCCCAGGCCTCTTCACTGACTCACATTCAGGGGGTCTGGATCAGTCCCATGCTGGCCTCCCAGCTGTCAGTCTGGTGTCCAAGAGCTCCCCCTTGTTCAGGTCAGCTGTTTCTGCTGGTTTCTCCAGCCCATTCTTTACCCATTTTCTCATCACTCTTTCTCTGTCACTGGGTTCCAGGGTTTCAGTTCAGTGTTTAGATGTGGGTGTTTACCTCTGCTTCCATCAGTCACTGGATGAAGGTTCAAGGATGGCATATAAGGCAGTCATCAAGTTCATTATCAGGAATGGGCATTTAAGGTGGTGTCTCCACTGTTGCTTAGTTTGCTGGTTGGTGTCATCCTTGTACATCGTTAGAGGTCTCACTGGTGCCAGATCATTTTTTTTTAGAATTTTAAATTTTAAATTAGAACAATCTTATTTTGCATATCAATCCCAGTTCCCTCTCCCTCCCATAGTTCCATGCCCCCCACTGACCCCCATCCCATTCCCATTCTGCTCCCCATGGGGAATCATCAGTCTGTCACATCATTTGGGGCAGGGCCTAGCCTCTGCCCCCTGTGTCTAGGTTGAGACAGTGTCCCTCTATGGGAAATAGGCCCCCAAAGTTCATTCATACACAACTGAGGTCTTTATTGGACACCAAGCTCACCTTCCCATTTTTGGACAAGGGGATGATACCTCTACTTTGTTTTGTCTGTCTTTACTCAGAACAAGTGTGTGTGTGTGTGTGTGTGTGTGTGGTGTGTGTGTAGTGTGTGTAATATATGTTAAATATGCCTGTTACGTTTACTTTTTTCCCCATTTTTCTTACGCTTAAGACTGAAGCCAGTGTCTCACACACACTGAACATACAACATCTGCCTTTGAACTATTGATTCCAGCCCCTGGATGCTTTTGAATGTTACTACTGATTTTTTCTTTCTAGCTTGTTATGCAGTCTGTGAATCACTCTGTTTTTCTGACGAGAATATCATTTTATAGCATTTAATTATGTAGGTTTTAAAATTTTATACCTATCATTTTTACTGTTTATTGCTTAGAAGTTGTTTTATGATCCCTCCACTTTATTTTATGTA